TCGCTGATGATGTGCGTTTCAGTCTGAAGCTCTGTGATGAGGACAAGAGGTGTCAGAGGCAGACAGTCATGGACACAGGATTGACACAATTATATAGGGAAGAAGGAAAGAAAGGTGTAAGATGGTCAGTATACGACCAGCTCACTGCTCATCTCTCTTCCATGCACTGTGCTAAAAAGGCACTCCAGTCACCCTTGCTCCCATGGTGACAGTTACTAGGAAACACACACATGCACCTACGAACAGGTGACAGAGTTCTCGTTTTCTTTAATAGGTAGCATTTTTCCAATCAGATGAATGATACTCAATATCAGTTACCAGTTACCTCCGAGGATTCTGTACATCTAGTTCCTTAAAGAAACTGGACCGAGAACATACAGACCGTCTGCACTGGCCCCGAACAGTTTGGGGTTTCCTGTTGCCCAGACCAGGTTTTAACCCTCCATAGGGGATCTGGAAAAGCTGTGGAATGATTTGGCATTCTCCGATTGTTCTGTCACATGCAAGGGCGGAGGAAGGACTGGCTCCCTGTAGAAAACCCCCTCCTCTACCTGCCCTTGTCACAGGCCAAGGCCCTCTCATGGTTTTCACAAAGAAACCTTTCCACATTCAGTCACATGTGCAGTGCCAGGCTCTGCTTTAAGGGTAAAATTTTGTCTGTGACTATAAGAAAAAAAGAGTTTTCCTGAAGAGCTGAGTGATGCTTTCTCTGTGGCAGCCTGAAATTACATTTGAAATGTCATCCCTAAAGGAGAGTAATATGTGACAATAAGCACAGATTCTCGTGAGGAGAGATATTTCTCCTTGGACAGATCTCGGTCTATACATAGGTATCTTATTTATTTATTTAGGCAAGGTCTCACTCTGTCACCTTGGATAGAGTGTCATGGTGTCATAGCTCACTGCAACCTCACACTCCTGGGCTCAAGTGATCCTCAGTCTCCCGAGTAGTTGGGACTACAGGCACCTGTCACAACACACAGCTAATTTTTCTATATTTAGTAGAGATAGAGTCTTGCTCTTGCTCAGGCTGGTCTTGAACTCCTGAGCTTAAGTGATCCTCCAGCTTTGGCCTCCCAGAGTGTTGGGATCACAGGAATGAGCCACTGCGCCCAGTATATACCTATAAATCTCTACACCTATCACAGCCTCTTACTGTGGTGTGCAGAGCAGCAGACTAGGTATGATAGAGGAAAAGTATAAAACACAATTGAGATCCTGTAGGAGCTTAGAATTTAGAGGGTAAGGTCTGATTATACAAAAGGAATAATTATGGAATGAAAACAAGGTAGAATTGATTCATAGAGTTCTGGAATTTTAGAACTATAAGTATTTTAAAGATTGTTTTACAGGCTTTGCACTGTGGCTCAAGCGGCTAAGGTGCCAGCCACATACACTTGAGCTGGCGGGTTCAAATTCAGCCCAGGCCTGCTACACAACAATGATAGCTGAAACCAAAAAATTGCCAGGTGTTGTGGTGGGCGCCTGTAGTCCCAGCTACTTGGGAGGCTGAGGCAGGAGAATTGCATGAGCCCAAGAGTTGGAGGTTGCTGTGAGCTGTGATACCACAGCACTCTACCAGGGTGACAGCTTGAGGCTCTGTCTCAAAAGAAAAAAGATAAATATTGTTTTACAAAGGAGAAAACTAGAGGCCAGGTGGGTTAGTAGTTTACCTGAGGTCACAAAGTGAATTAGTGGCAGAGGCAGGAATCATAGACATTAAGAATATATATATATATGTATACATATATAAGTTATATATATATTTTGAGAGAAGTTTAGAGCATAGTAAGTATAATACACACACACATATATAATGTGTTTAGTATATCACTACCATGTTGACATGGTTCAAACCTTAGCTGCCCCACTGCATTTATTAACTTGCTAGACACAGACTTCACATTTACAGAGCTTTCACTTGGAACAGATAGCAGCTCACAATAGTGTGAGACAAAGAAAATAGGCAGAGAAATCCTACTTAGGATGATACGGGGACTGCCTGTCAATCTCAATACACACAGATTAGCTACACGATGATGCACGAGGCTGAGTTTCTGCTCTACGGGAGCCAGTCTGCTAGAGAAAGCAGCAGGCAACTAGCCACTGTGACCTGTAGCGACTCGTACCTTGTGGAGCAGGGCTGAGAGCAACGGCAGCACACAGAGGGCATCGGATTCCGTGAGGCAGAGGTAGGGAAGGAAATCATGGAGGGTTTCTCATATAAAAGAATAAGGAGTTGGCCAAAGAGAAGAGCTGAACAGAGTCTGAAGTCCCAAGCCAGCTGTGGTGGGTCCTCTGAACTGGCTCTGCCTCTCAGCTTCCCTCCCATCTTCTCCTGTGCTTTCAGAGTTTATAATCTAAAGAAGGAAGAGCCACACCCCCACCTCCCCGCAAGGGTTAAGCTTCTGCTAACTAGATGTGCTAGGAAGGTGGACCCCAGTCTGCAGGCATCTGTTGAGTTTCTGCGGCAGACTCAGCTGTGGACACACTGGGCGTTTATGAAGTGGTCATTCCATGTTTGGGACTACCTCTGGGGAACTGGGAGGAAGTGCAGGGGTGGCAGTGGTCTCCTGACCTGGCTCACAGCTACAGTGCCATGTTCACCAACAACAGTCCCTGGAGGCCTGGACCCTGCTCTCCCAGGAGACTGCCCAGCAGTCTTGTCCTAGGAGGCATTCCTGCAGGCCTGCCAAGTGACCATTCCTTTAGCCTGTCCAATGATTTTGTAAGCTCCTGAGACTGTATGAAACCCTTTCCTGCTGACAATGATCTGAGCAGTTCTGTTTCTTGCATCTAAAACACCAACACAATACAAAAATGCAAAGTGTGCTATGAATAACATAGTTTGTAGGGGTCAGGATTAGGGTCGGAGTTATGGGTTAAGGTTATGCTTTTACTTTTTTTTTGTAAAGAAACAGTCTCACTGTGTTGTTCAGTGGTCTTGAACATCTGGCCTCAAGTGATCCTCTCATTTTAGCCTCACAAAGTGCTAGGATTACAGGCATGAGCCTGTACTCAGCCTTTAATAACCCTTTAAAAATATGAAAAAATCATTTTCAAACCCTTAAAATCATATTTAGCCCACAAGCTGAACAATTTGCAGACCCTTGATAGAGTATTCGGAGCATGATGAAATGTCAAAAGTTTAAATATGGTAAAAGCTCCCAACTTTTGAAAACTGATGGTATGTTTAGTGGTGTTATTATGCTAGGATGCATGCCAGCAGGTCTTGGGATGGGATCAACAGTTATGAGAGCAGGCAACAGAATTCAGGCAAATAAAAAGCCGCCCCTTGCCTATCTAACTCTGATGCCCAGTCCATTTCCTAAAAAAAAATTTTTAATTGTGAGTTAAAAAAAACTTACACAAGCTCGGCGCCTGTGGCTCAAGTGGCTAAGGTGCCAGCCACATACACCTGAAATGGTGGGTTCAAATCCAGCCCGGGCCTGCCAAACAACAATGACTGCTGCAACCAAAAAATAGCCAGGCATTGTGGTGGGTGCCTGTAATCCCAGCTATTTGGGAGGTGGAGGCAGGAGACTCACATGAGCCCAGGAGTTGGAGGTTGCTGTGAGCTGTGATGCCATAGCACTCTACCCAGGGCGACAGCTTTAGGCTCTGTCTCAAAAAAACAAAAACAAACCTACATTAAATTTACCATCTTAATCATTTTTCTGTGTACAGTTCAGGAATGTAAAGTATATTCACATCACCCTGCAACAGGTCTCCAGAAGTTTTTCACTTTGTAATTAAAACTCTAGACCTAATAAACAACAACCGTTTTCTCCTCCCTTAAGCCCCTGGCAACCACCACTCCCTGATTTCTCTGTTTCTATTAATGACCACTGTTGGTACCACCTCAGTATAGTTTTGATTTGCTCATCCCTAATGATTAGTTAGAGGTCAAAGACCCAAATAAAAATCCTTCTGAGACACGAAACGAAAGGGAAACGGAATTCAGGTTCTGTGTGGGAACATCAGCTTTTATTTCCACCCCGGTGAGGGGAAAGCTGAGTTCGAGAAGGAAGCGAGCCGGTGAATAAAGATGGATGGGCCTTTTAAAGGTCGGAGGGTGGGGGGCCCGCCCATTCACCTTTCCCGGGAGGGACCTCCGTCGGAAGGGTGGGGCTGGTTCTATTTGGGCGGGTCCCCATATTTGACTCTATCAATTAGTGATGTTGAGCATCTTTTCATATGCTTGTTTGGCCATTACTGTACTTTCTTTAATTTTTTTTTTTTTTTTTTAGAGACAGGGTCTTCTTCTGTTCGTTGGGCTGGAGTGCAGTGGTGCAATCACAGCTCATTGCATCCTTGAACTCCTGGGCTCAAGTGATTCTCCTGTCTCAGTCCCCTGAGTAGCTGGGACTGACTACAGGTATGAGCCACTTTGCCTGGCTAATTTTTAAAAAAATTTTTGCAGAGACAGGGTCTTGCTATATTGCCCAGGCTGGTCTCGAACTAGAGTTAACCGATAGTGTGCGAAAGAACGAAAATGAGGCAAAGGGGATTAGAACCTGTCAGGCTGCTCATCTGTAAATCACTTAAGTTGGTCTAAAAGCTATGACGACCGGGTCTGACTAGGGCCCTGGCTGTGACCGCGAGCGCCACCCCGGCCACTACTTTCACCTTCCGGCCGGAACCCTCAGGCCCTGGCGGGCCGGGCCGGACTGCGCCGCAGGAATCGAGTCAGGGACCCGCGACGTCGCCGCCCTCCGCCGGAACCCTCTGGGTCGGCGCGCCAGCCTGACTGCCCCGGAGAACTGACGTCAGGCACCCGTGACGTCATCAGTTTGCCGCGCTCGCGGGCGGGGCATTGGCTCCGCGGGCCGCGAACCGGCCGCCTCCCGCCCCGCCCTGGGGCCCAGACGGTCGGAGCTGAGGCAGCCCAGGCGCTCGGGAGCCGAGAGCGGTCGCGTCCTTCCTCTTGGCCCCGACCCAGGTCCTCTAGAACCCCGCGGCGAGCCCGGCGGCGACGCGTCACGCACACGCATGCTCGTGCGCACGCGCGCTCCCGCGGAACCCGGAAGTGCGAGGCCGCGGGAGCCACGTGGGCCGACGGGAGCGCGGCTCGCATGGGGGAGTCTATCCCGCTGGCCGCGCCGGTGCCGGTGGAGCAGGCGGTGCTGGAGACGTTCTTCTCTCATCTGGGCATCTTCTCCTACGACAAGGCCAAGGACAATGTGGAGAAAGAACGAGAGGCCAACAAGAGCGCGGGGGGCAGCTGGCTGTCGCTGCTGGCGGCCTTGGCGCACCTGGCCGCGGCCGAGAAGGTCTATCACAGCCTCACCTACCTGGGGCAGCGACTAGGTACCTCCGCGCCGACCCCCGAGCCCCCCCGCAGGAGGAAGGAGGGGTGTGTCCCGGGCCGGCGCGGCCTGAGGTCCCGTGTGCGCTCGCGGGGCGCCCCCTGCCCCGGGGTCCCGCGGCCCCGTCCCCCGCCGCGCGGCTAGATTGGCGGACTGGTCAGACGCTCTTGGCAGGGCTGTGCCCCAAAGCACAGGGTTTGCTGTCTTGCCTCGTGCATAGATCGGTGCCATAAGTGAGCAGTTAACCAAACTCTAAGCCTTCGTTCTAACTAGAGATGCTGCAGCCAGAGGGCAAATCCTGGCGACACGACCTCGTTCTGCCAACGACATTCAGTCAGCCTCTGCAGGTTCAGGCCCCTGAGAGTTACACGTGGAGTCCTGCCCTCTCCTCGTAGTGTCCCAGTACATAATTAGTGAAGGAAGAAATAAATGAACTGGACAGGAAAGGCCAAACACGTCTAACACCAGCAGAAGGAAACGTAAGGGGAAAATAGTAAACCCTCCTAGCACCCCACGTAAATCCTTCCCGGGAAGATAAGCTGCAAGAGCTAATTCTCATTTTCACTGGTAGAGAAACAATTCACGGATGAGTAGATGAGAAGGAAATGATAGACGTAAAAGCTAAGGTATATGAATGCAAAATGCTACTACTTAATAATGACGGATAATAAATGTTTGACTTCGAGAGCTTTAGTACTTCGACCTGTTTTAGACCCGAAAGATCAGAGGCAGGAAGTCTGATGTACATACATATGAACTATAATACAGAGAATAAAGGGGTAAGATTGAGTGCAGATTTCATTTTGATTCTCCCCTTATATTGCCTGAAGGTGACCATATGCATTTTATTGAGTTTTCAGTAAGCACTGGAGAAGCCCAGGTTTCAGAGATCCCTAATTTCTGCCATAGCTATTCATGTAATAACTTTATATTTAGGAGGTTGATTTATTGCAAAAACTGATCAGATACTTCCACTTTATGTATTTTCTTCCTCTCCTTTTTATGGTGGCACTTTTCACAAATTTGCAGTGGCCGTTATGGTATTATGTTCCCCTCTGGACAGACCAGCAAATTGTGTGTGCAGTTGTGTGGGTGGGTTTTAGCGCCCAAATCGGAATGCCTGCCTCTGACTGTCAGACTGAGTCTGTATCCATTTGACTTATTAAAAATGTGTATGTGAATTACAGTACATATAATGTGTTATGTGTTTATATGTGAGTGCACATATGTGTTTTTATATACACAAACACGAGAAGTTTGTACACATACGTGTTTTTATATACACGAACATTAGAAGTTCTAGCTGTAATAGTGAAGGTGGGTGACATCCTGACAGTATTAATGTTCTGGTGGTTTTTAGATTCTTCAACTTTATAAAGAATGGCTGCTGACCCAAGTTCCGTGCTTCTCAGATTTTTTATTTTTTTAGCTTATCCATGGGAATTAGATGAGATCTGAGGGCTTAATCTCCTCAGAAAAATATCTGCACACAGTTTTGCATATAGTCTGAGAAGGTCTAGTTGTATTTCCTAAAGTCCGTTTATTGCCTCTGTTTTAAGAATCTGCTACTCTGGCTTTAAATTGTATGAGGTGGTACATGTAACAGAACTGGCTCCTGTCTTAAGAATATGTGTCTGAGATCTTCACTGTCTCTGACTTGGGTTTTGTGAAGTGGTCCTTACTATGTGAAATGATCGGTTCTGCTTGACACCAACTGGCCTGGGTGGGCCAGGGGCTGTCCCTTGAACTTGGCCCACACATTTGGCCCTGTGGAACTGGCCCAGTCGCTGTTAGGCTCCTAGGTGATTTCCTCACTTCTGAGTAAACATAACTTATTTACACACAGGGTAAAACATAAGTTTCAGAATTTGCTTTTATCTTTGCAGTTATCCTGGGTATTTTATTGACCTGGAGCTTATGTGGTATCAGTGTGCTTACAGTATGACTTAGCGGTTATCAGATTGACTGTGTTCTTAAAAAATTAGGAAAAGAACTTTGGTGTTTTCGTTTAAAACATTCCCATGTTCTCTTAAGTACTTTGCTAATTAGAATATTTATATGGTTTTCTTTAAAAAGCAAAACAAGTTAATGCATACTTTTAAAAAATCTAAAACGTGGTTCCCAAGTCTCTTTTCAGCTTTCTTGAGGTATAATTGACAAATAAAAACTGTATATATTTAAGGTGCACAACTTGATGTTGTGTGTGTGTGTATGTACACCATTTCAACTTGATGTTGTATGTATGTGTGTGTGTACACCATTTATTTTCTTTTTACCGTTTTTTCCTTCCTTCCTTCCGTCCTTTTCTTCCTTCCCTTCTCCCTTCTTTTTGTGGTGGAAACTCTTAAGATCTACCCTGTTAGTACATTTCAGTTAGAAACTGAGTCTTTTGGGCCTCAGTCTGTGGCTGGTGTGCACCCGAGGCCTCTGCAGTGAGTCCTGATGGCAGATGCCAGTGGGGCCTGTAGACCCAGGACGGACCTGCCAGGGGTCATCTTGGGTCCATCTTGGCCCCTCACTGAAAACTGTCCCTGGCGCCTTCTCTGGAGCCCTCGCTTTGCTTTGAGGAAAGAATAGTGTCTGGGAAGGGTGGTGATTCGGATGTGCTGACTCTGCCTGTCAGGACTGTCGGAGGCTGTGCTTCTCTCCCTGTTTCATGACTGAAGAATTCCCTCAACCTCTGCGAGAACTGATGTTTACAATTTACCATTAGCAAGGATTTGAATAAAATGCCCACGATGTTTTACACGCTCTGTTAATATACTTGAAATTTCATAGTATGAGAAAAACTGTTGAAATCTTGGGAAATATTGAGTATTTATAACTAAAGCCTTCTGGAAATATGTCTGAGTAATTATATTTTATAAATTCACAGTACTGAAAAGAGAAGGAAGTCAGGGAGGTGCCTGTGGCTCAAAGGAGTAGGGCGCTGGCCCCATATACTGGGGGTGGCGGGTTCAGGCCCAGCCCTGGCCAAAAATTGAAAATAAATAAGTAAGTAAAATAGATAAAATAAAAGAGAAGGAAGTCAGGGGCTTCTGATCCCTTGTTTCCTGGCATGAAGGAAGGCCAGTCCCCAGTGGAAATTCCAAACCAGGAATGTTAGCCGATAGGATTATACCCCGAAAGCTTTAGGAAAGAGACTAATTTAAAAGAAATGTGTTGGTGGTGTCTTTTATAGTAGTTTCATTTTACTTGGCTTCACATACTGATGGGTGTTCATGGGTAAGCTTTTTACGGTTTTCTTTGTATTTCTGTTGTTTCTCTCTTCCTCCAGGGCAGGGTAAGCCCCTGAAGGAAGGGGCGTCCCCCTCCTTTTTGTGTGTTCTCTCCCCAGAAGCTCTAGAGACAGATGGTCTCCCTTTTTCAATTAATTCAAAGTTAAACTTTTACCAGGGCCGCCTTGTTAGGAGTGTGAGTACACAGTTGAGTTCACTTCGCTGTCTGTTAAGTAGACGGCTAATTCACATAACGTCCCAATTTGGGATAAGAGCTTTAGAAGCTCAACTGTGTGTCCTTGGGAGGTTTTCCTAGTGTCAGTTCTAAGCAGAGGGGAAAGAGTTAGCGTTATTGAATGCGTGCTTTGTTCCAGGCACGTTACATACCAAGTGTCACTTCACTTTGTCATGTTAGCAGCTCTGTTCAGAACAACCACCACCAAACACGGATTGGCCAAGTACTTTGCAGTGGCACAGCTTGTAAATTTGGGAGCTGGGATTTGAAATCAGGTTATTCAGACTTCCAAAACTTTTGAGTTTTACATGATTCTCCTATACCTGAGTAGAAGCACATTTCAGTTGAAAACTGAGTCTTTTTGACCTCAGTCTGTGGCTGGTGTGCACCTGAGGCTTTTGTCCTGAGTCCTGACTGTAGATGCCAGTGGGGCCTTTAGACCAAGAGGCTTTGTCCCAGATGGAGGCACAGACACCCATTTGTTCTGTATCCACCACTCTATAAAATTAGCAGACCTGGATGGAGTGAATAGGGGTGGGCATGGGAGGAAGGCAGAGCTGGCAGGGCACAGTCCCACCTGGGATGCTGGCATCACCAGTGGTCCACCTGTGGTTTTGGCGTGATTAGTCCGAGTGTTTTGTGCAAGTTACTCAATCTTGGGATGGTAAACTGGAGAAAATACTTTATTTTTATTTTTTTTTACAACTTTTTTTTTT